AAGAACAGTTAAGATGGCAGGGTTGGGTGAGGGGCTTGTGGGAAGCTCTCCTGGGCAATCAGGGATGATGGCGAACACAGGCAGAGGGTGGGAGACTTCAGCCAGAGGCAAGCAGGACTTCAGACTTTCAGGCTTCAGGCTTGCATATGGAGACCTGACAGTGGCTATTTTCCCAGGTCCTGGGTGTGCATTTGTTAATGATATCTATGATATGTGTCTAGATGACCACCAAAAGTTTGTGTTCTTTTCTATTGTCTGGAATTGATCCTGGGATGTCTGCCCAGGCACCTTTGCTTCATTTTGTCTATCAGATGAATTTTCTTCAATGCAGTGTGAAAAGAAGCAATATGTCATTCGGAGCTTGGTTTTTAAGAAAAGGATGTTCTGTCCAGATGGAGGAAGAATGTCAACCATATGGGATGGTAAAGCTGAAAGATAGAACTCTGTCCCTAAACCACTATTTGGAGGACAGCTCCCCAGTCATCAAGGAACACCAGCAATGGATTATTATATGAGTGAGAAATAAACTTACATTGTGTTAAGGTAATGATATTTGGATTTCAATTGTAATAGCAGCTACTATAATTGTAACCAATTTAATACCTTTACTGATAGAATTCCTGTTTTCCCTCACTGAGCCATAGAGTAGGAACTGTGATAGTGCATTGGTTTCCTGTTGTTATAACAAATCACCCCCAAAGCTTAGTGGCTAAAAACAGATGTTTATTATCTCAATTTCTTTGGGTAAGGAATCCAGATACAGCATAGCTGGGTGCCTCTGGCTCAGGTTCTCTCAGAAGGCTACAGTCTACCTGTTGGCTAGTGCTGCAGTCATCTGAAGATTTTATTAGAGGACAATCAGCTTTCAAGCTCATGTAAGTGGGTAGGACTCAGTTCCTCACAGGCTTTGGCTGAACATGTTGATTTCCTTCCATGTGGGCCTCTCTGTAGGGCAGCTTACAATGGCAAGTGGCTTCCTTGAAAGTGAGTGAGCAGGAGAGGATGCCCAAGATAGAAAATGAAGTCCTTTTATAACCTAATATTAGAAGTGATATCCCCTCATCTTTGGTTTTGGTTAATTAGAAGTCACTAGGTCTAGCCTACCATCAAGGGGAAGGGATTACAAAAGGGTTTGAATAAGAGGAGGTGGAGAACTTTGAGAGCCATCATAATGGCTTTCCACCAGTCTTCTCTCTGTCCTGAACTTCCAGTGATTCATGTCCCTTTCACACACAAAATTCACTTACCCCTTCCAAGGCCCCTCTTAGAGTCTCACCTCATTACAGGATCACTTCAAAGTCAATAATCTTGTAATCTAACATAGGAACAGGTGCTAATGAGGCCCATAAAATATAGTTTCTTAAGTATGGGTATTGATCTGCAGACCTTTAGACTTAAAGAAAATAAAGAACAAGTTATCTGCTTCCCCTCCTCCACCATGCCTAAGCAACACAGTAGAATCACTGCTCCACAGCAGTTCTGAAATTTGGCCAGACAAATGTTTAGAAATTTCTTGATCAGGTCACAAGGCCCGGGATAAGTATCCACCATCTGAACTCTTGCTTCTGTCCGTTGAATCATCCTTTTGTCCTGAAATACATTTGCAGCTCAATAGCTTTCTTAGCTTGCTTACTAATACTAGAGTTTTAGGAATCTAGTGGTGTCACTTCATTTTGTGCTGTCTCTGTCCCTCTCACTGTAGTTGGCAGAGTTTCTACTGATTCTTCTGAAAATGTTGTGGGCTTCATGAAAATCTCATTGGGGTTCATTGCACTAGATGAAAGCCACAGCCACAAATCTCTTTGAGATAAGCTTCTTAGAGGCATAACTATTTGAATAAGAGTCTCTCAGCTCTCTTTAATCTCTTTACAGAGTTTTTGTGGGGTTAAATAGTACTCTGAGATACCAGCTTTAGGTTTTGCTTTGTTGCCCAGGATGGAGTGCAGTGGTAGGATTGCTCACTCAAGCAATCCTCCCACCTCAGCCTCCCGAGTAGCTGAGACTACAAGTGTACACCACTACATACAGCTTTGTATTTTTTTAAAGATGGGGTCTCACTATGTTACCCAGGCTGGTCTCAATCTCCTGGGCTCAAGCAGTCCTCCCACCGTGGCTCCCCACAGTGCTGGTATTACAGGTATGAGCAACCACACTGGCCTGGTGTCTGTCATTAACTTTAGAAAATTCTCAGTCATTATTCAAATATTTTCTCTTTTTTCTCTCTTCTCCTTCTGGTATTCCAGTTACACATATATTTCACCTTTTGTAATTCTCTTTTTCATTTTTTTTCTTTGTAGTTCAGTTTGGCAAATTTCTATTAACATATCTTCAAGCTCACTCATTCATCTCTCAGAGTGTCTAGTCTACTGACAAGTTCATTAAAGGTTTTCTTCATATCTGTTACAGCATTTTCAATTGCTAGTATTTCCTTTTGATTCTTTCTTACAGTTTGCATCACTCTGCTTACATTACCCATCTGTTCTTGCATGTTGTCTACTTTGTCCAAGATGCTTCTCCTTCTATGGGCTTCCCTAAGAACTCCTTCTTAAATAGAGTTTGTGCTTTGTAGCTTTCTCTGTTGTAATCCACTGTTATTGACCAGAGCCCCATTAGTGTGGCAGTGAGGTACACTGGGAAGGGAAGCATTCTATAATCTTATGAAATACCAGTTTTCTAGTGGGCTTGAGTCCTTGGACTGTGATCTTCAGAAGCACTTCTTAGCCTTTTAAAAATCTTGCCTTACTGAGACAGACAGGCTATAGAGGAACTAGAACTGGCTAAATGCCTCTCCCCAAGGTCTAACAACTCTAGTAAGTAGTTTTCCTTGGAGTGCAGGTGTTTATTATGGAGAATGCTGTGGTTACTCTTCTCCTCCCCTTGCCCAAAACCCTGAGATTTTCCCCCATTCTTCACTGTGAAAGTTTGATAGGGTTTCTGGAGGTAAAATTCAGGGAAGTGTGGGGACCCATCTAACATTAGGCTCGTATGAGTTTTTAACTCACAAGGTAGCCCATACTAAGCCTCCTGCAATTCATAAAAATTATAAAATAAAAGTTTCTACCAGTTTATAGCTCCAGTGGCTTCTGCTTCAAGTAAGCTAAGCTTGGGTGTGATTTTATGTATTTTTCTTTCTCAGGATTTTGTGGTGTCAGTTTCCTTTCTATCTTTAGTTCTCTGATGGATCTAAGAAAAGTTGATTTTCAGTTTGTTGAATGATTTCGTTGTGAGAATGGGAATGAAGGCTTCTGAGCTCTTTATATGCCAGAGCTAAAGTGAGAATATCATTTTTATCCAATTCAAATAACCACAAAATGTTACAAGCTCTAAGATGGCATTTGCTGTTTCATAGAGAAAGTATTTTCACAGCAAGACTTAGTTTTCTTATGATATCTGAGGTAAACTGGATCCAGGAGAGTCCAGTCTAGATGTGACTGTGTGGCCTTGAGTGGTTGTGACTGAGGGGGTGAGTTAATTTCTGGTGAGCCAGTATCTATGATGCTTTGTCTTGGTCAGCGGGGGCTGCCATAACAAAATATCATAGACTGAGTGACTTGACTAAGAAACTTTATTTTTCACAGCTCTGGAGGCTGGGAAGTCAAACTGTTGGCACATTCAGCTCTTGGTGAGGGCCCTCTTCCCTTGCAAATAAATGGCTTACATCCTGCTGTGTCCTCACATGGCCTTTTCTTGGTGGTTGTGTAAACATGGAGACCCCTCCTTCCTCTTTTGCTACAAGTGCACTGACCCCATCATAAGGGCATCACCATTATGACCTAATCTAAGTCCGATTACCTTCCCAAAGCCCCAACTCCTAATGTCATCACACTAGGGGTTAGGGTTTCACCATATTAATTTTGGGTTGACACATTCAGCCCATAACAAGTTGTGTCATGATGAGACTGGTAATGCTAGATTTCGTGATTTCTTAAAAAAGCAAAACAAACTAAGCACCTACTATGTGCTGTTTTAGTCACTGAGAATATAACCCTGAACAGGACTGAAGCTGTGTGCCTTCTTGGAACCCTCCTTCTAGCAGGCAAAGAGAAAATGGGGTGGGGGGAAGTGAGGGGCGTACCTTATATCAGAGAGCAGTAACTAGTAGGCATGAAATAAAACAGGCTCCAGACGTGCACTATCAGAAAGTCACAAGTGTGCAAAGCAGGCATATCTTTTGTCTTCACTTTTCTATCTCGTAGGCTCCTCCCGAGCCCCAAGCCCCGTCCTGTTTCATGGTTTTCCTCTCTTGAGGTATCTGCCACGCCTTACTCGCTGCGTTTCAGTGCTGTCCAACTGCGCCTGCATACCCTGCGCCTGAGACCCCACCCCCCACAGGGGGGGCGCGCCTGCGAGCTGGAAGCCCGTTCTCTGCGTCCTGAGCCTGGCAGCTGCGTCTGCACACTCGGAGACTGGCGACGGCTTCCAGAAACCCGGCGCCGGGGTTCGCTTCAGTGAAGCGACCTGTACTTCGCGGACCCAGAATCCGGGCTGAGAGGACTCCTAACCCAACCAGGAGGTCCAGGAGAGGTCCAAGAGGGGGACACAGGACAGTGACCGCCAGGCTTGAAGAGGCTCCGCTTCTGGCAAACCCGGCGCCTGATTTCTGAATGCCACTTCCGTTCGGGACTACACTTCCCAGGGGCCATTGCAGTGGAGGACACGCTCACTTCCGGAGAGGACCCGAAGCCAGACGAGTGAGAGTCCCGTCCAGTGCTGAGGAGAAAGCGGGCCCGGGCGGGGCGGCGGGGATGGTGTCCTGGCTGCTGCGTGGGCGGCGGTCGTGAGCGTGCGCGTGTGGCCTGGTGGCCGTGAGTGCCCATACGTGGTGAGCGTGTGGTGAGGCGCTGAGGAGGAGTGAGCGCGCGCGTTAATCGGGCCCGGCGTTAGGCTGCAGTGCGTGACCGCCCGGTGCGTGGCCGCGAATGTGCGCCTGAGTGCTCGTCCTGGCAGCGTGCTGAAGGCGGTGTGTGCTGCAGTGAGTGAAGCACTTTCAGTAGGCGAGAGCAGGAAACCCTCCCGGAGGAGGTTTACCCCGCCCGCTCCTGTATCGACTGCCTGGAGCCCAGTGTGGGAAAGCCCTAGAGCCCGAGGCAGGTGCCCGGGCGGGGCGGCTTCTGCTGAAGCATTTCCTGTCGGCCCCACCTGGTGGGGGCGGAACTGAGGACGCGGCCCCATGTCCACAGGACAGCGAGGAGCGGAGACCATGGGATCTGAGTACAGAGGTAAGCGTGACCGATGACTTGGATGTGGCTGCGAGAGTGGACATTGAGGTTTTGGGGGCTGTCCTTCGGGGTCCAGGTGCTGGAGGAGGATGTCCCTGGTTTCTAAGGCTAGTGGACCCAGAAGTCCAAAGATTTGGAGCGTCTCCTTGCATCAGAGTGGAGCTGGGTTTACGGAGGGACCTTGACTTGCCCAGAGGCACCTAACCAGATACTCAACTTAGGTCCTTGGGATATCACTAAGGGCCCAGCAGAGAGAATATTACCCTTTATAACATTACCTCTGGGTACTCTGCTGCTCTTCAAGGAAGATCTCAATATGTAGATTTTTATCCGTCAGAGCCTTGTCCAATCTATCACTGTAGGATGGGACTTGGGAAGATCTTAGGCGAGATTCACAGCTTCACCTAGAAATGCCAAGGCATTCCCGCCTTTCTATGGCTTAATCACCTTCTAGTCAATAACAGAATATATCCCCATTCCTTGGGCTTCTCTCCTTCCCCTCTGGCCTCCCACCCCAAAAAAGATAAATGGGAAAGAAGGGCTATTTTTAGCCATATTGTTCTTATTTTTAGCCATATTGTTTATTATGTGCCAGACACAATTCTAAGACCTTTCGGGAGTATCAACACCAAACTTTACAATATTATGAAGTAAGAACTACCTTACCTCCTTTTTACAGATGAAGACACTGAAGCATGGAGAGGATAAGTAATCACTAGTAACTGAAAGAACCGGGATTCAGATCCAGAACAGGCTGACTCCGGAGTCCCTCTGTTTACTTACTGACTGTCATGTAGTCTCCTTAACTACTGCCTGAGGTAGGTTTCTTAGCCACTTTTGACAGTTGATGAAACTGACTCTGAAAGGGTTAAAAAACTGAAAAGTTTATATCCCAGAACCTCCACTGAGCAGGCTTGGGGTTTTTTTTCTTAAACTTTATGACTCTAAGTTCTTACATAGAATGGAGGTGGTAATATTATATACCTCACAATACTGTCTTAAGGATTAAATGACTTCATACATGTAAAGCACTTAGTATAGTCCCTGCCATGTCATAAGTGTTCATTTTTATCATTATTATGATAATCCTCTGAGAAGGCAGTAGAATTTAGATGAAAGAAGCCAGAATTAATTCAGATACTTTGTCCTCTTCCTAATTAAGGAAACTTGGCTTAGCGGAGTCAAGGCACTTCTTCAACACTGTAGTTTGTTAACAAAGCAAAATGAGATCCTGGGCCTCATGAGGATTTTTTGGTTTAGTTGTCTGAAAGTCATATGGACTCTGCTGTGACAAAAGGAATGCCTCTCTCTGGGGAAGATGGAATTCCCCAAGGAATTTGTCTTACAGAATATTCACAAGTCCTGGCCAGTTACACAGAGGACTTACTTTCTGGTGTCTGAGCAAATAACTTTTGTGGTAGAATCAGCCAGACCTAGGTTGGTGACTGAGTTTCATTATTTACAAACTTGTGTGACTTGTGAAAAAGACTTGTCTTCCCAGTGACAGTATACTCTATTCCCTTTGAAAATTGTGGAGATTTAAAGAGAGTATTAATATATTGCAGCACAGACATGGTGGCTCATGCCTGTAATCCCAGCGCTGTGGGAAGCGAAGGCAGGGGATTGCTTGAGGCCAGGAGGTTGACCAGATACCCAACTCCAAGAGGTTGCTACCTCCTGACCTAAAGCAATATAGTGAGCAATTGGGCAATATAGTGAAACCTCCATCTCTATAAAAAATAAAAAAAAAAAAAAAAAACAACTAGCTGGGCATGGCACTTGCTTGTAGTCCTAGCTACTAAGGAGGCCTAGGATGGAGAATCACTTGAGCCCAGAGTTTGAGGATACAGTGAGCTATGATCACATCACTGTACTCCAACCTGGGCAACAGAGTGAGGCCCTGTCTTAGAAAAAAAAATGTACACACACACACACACACACAGAACACCTGGTATTAATATATCTGTTGTTAATGAGTTGGTGGCTGATGGGGAGAGGGAATCAAGAGATACTATGCTCATCCTGAAAACCCAGAGCAGAGGGGAATCCCAGTTGTATATTTCAAGTTTCCCAAGGAGTATCTGGACTGTTGGGTGAGGGAGTTAGAGTGGGGGTTGTGAGTGAGGACAGAAAGAGCTGAAGGGAAGAAAGCATTTTCAAACTTAGACTATTAGTGCTACTTGGATTTTCACTACTTCTTTCTCCTCCCCAGCTCTGCAATACCAGAGTAAAGCTCTTCTCCAAATGAAGAGCCAGGAAGAGGGAGAGGTGACAGAAATTAAACTACTTAAAGCCATGTCCCCGGTGAGTTAGTATTCCTTCTCTCCCCACTAAAATAGTCCCACTTTTCAGGATTTGGTAATACTTGTTTTCTTCCGAAAATTTTCTGCTTAAGAGTTCCACCCTGAGGCCTATTTCCCATTTCTTTCCTTTCTGATATGTGATGGGGTTGTGAGTGAGGGATAGACTCACACCGCCCAGTGCTCTCTCAGAGGTTTCTTCTCTTCTTTTTACTCATTTTATTTTTCATTCAAGAAATGACCAGTCTGAGTCCTTCCTTTGTGCTCAATCTTTTCATAGGCATCTGACAAGGCAGATGTACAACGTTTGGAGGAAATTTCCATGCCTAGCTCCTAAGTCTCAGTCCTGATTCTCAGAGAGGTTATAATCTGTTGGAGAAATGAAAAGGCAACAAACACTTATGCAGCGTGATAAGTGCCGCAAGCAGAGAATAGACTCACAGTGGAATAGTTGGGAAAGGTCATAATGTCTTTGGGTGAATTCGAAAAAAAGATGCCCCTTCCTCTGGACTGGTGATGCTCTGTGACAGACCATACAATATGGCAAGAGGAAGTCTACTGTATTTTAGCTCCTTCCTGCCTCCTTGGTGAGGTATCCTTGAGCAGGATATAGCCTGCACCATCATACTCACTCCTGAGGGCATGAAGCGTTGGGGAGACTTCACAGAGGTAATGATTCCTAAGTTACGGCTTGAATGAAATGGAGGAAGTGCAGGCACAGGTAGGATTGGTAGCATTCTGACCAGAGTATGCAAAGGTTTGTCCTCCCCATTTGACCACGGAGCCATGAGCATTGTAAATACCAAGGAATGTTTTACCTCCTTTTTTCTTTCTAGGATGAATACTATAATCTGTTTAATCAGGCCCTTGTTGTTCCATAGGTAAATTGTTGCCAATTATCTGCTGTTAATAGAGTATTGCAGTAGTCATCCTTGTAGTTGAATTTTTGCCCTCATCTCTGATTAATTTCTTTGACTAAATTCCTCGTTTTTCATTCCTTGTGGTTAGAGTTTCTCAAACTGACCCTAGTCTAGAACATTTTTAATTTTATTTTATTTTTTGGCCAACAACAGGAGCTTCAGAGCTATGGTTGATGTTCTGATTAAGATAAACTGCTAAACTAGTTTCACCAGCAAATTGCTTATTGTAAGAAAGTATTTAACTTGATGTACAAACTTAGAAAATTAAATTTTTTTAAATGGAGTAGTTAATTGTTTTTTTCAAGATGGAGTCTCACTCTATTGCCCAGGCCAGAGTGCAGTAGCGCAGTCTAGCTCACTGCAGCCTCCACCTCCCAGGTTCAAATGATTTTCCTGCCTCAGCCTCCTGAGTAGCTGGGATTGCAGGCATGTGCCACCATGCCTGGCTAATTTTTAAAAATTTTTTAGTAGAGACCAAGTTTTACCATGTTGGCCAGGCTAGTCTCAAACTCCTGACTTCAAGTGATCTGCCTGCCTCGGCCTCCCAAAGTTCTGGCATTATAGGTGTGAGGCACTGTGCCTGGCCATTTTTTTTTTTTAATAATAGGCATAACAACTTGTGGCCAGAGCATGACATCTTTTCTTAGGTATAATGCCAAAAACATACACTACCAAGGTAACTTGTTTCTTAGGGCATTTAGACATTTTAAACAAAAGCATTCATATTAGTTGCCAGAGAAAAATATTTTAAGAGTGGTAGACTATGTCATGAAGGTTAAGATGGACTATGCACACTCTACTCTTTTTCCCACTGAAAGTTGCTATAAAACCAGGACAACGTGCCTGAACAGCAATCTGAGGTCTCTGTAAAGTAAATAGTAGCAGACAGGCCAGACACAGTGATTTACACCTGTAATCCCAGAACTTTGGGAGGCTGAGGTGGGTAGATCACCTGAGGCTAGGAGTTCAAGATCAGCCAGCCTGGCCAACGTGGTGAAACCCTGTCCCTACCAAAAAAAAAAAAATTACAAAAATTAGCCAGGTGTGGTGATGCACACCTGTAATTCCAGCTATCTGGGAGGCTAAGGCATGAGAATCACTTGACCTGGGCGGTGGAGGTTGCCATAAGCAAAGATCATACCACTGCACTCCAGCCTGGGCAACAGAACAAGACTCTATCTCAAAAAAAAAAAANAAAAAAAAAAAAAAAAAAATGGAAAGAAGAAAAAAGGGGTAGCAGGCAGATCGGAGAAAAAGCACAAGATTTCAGGTGCCACCAGACCATGGTGTATTTACTTTCAAGAGACTCAAAACCTGGAAGTGGATAATGGTGTGGACAGAAAGAACTGCAGGAGATGCCTTCTACTTGATAATCAAACTGTTGAAAGCTAAAGACAAAGAAAAAAAATCTCAAAAACCAGCCATTGAAAAATGATGCATAACATATAAAACAACAGTGATTTGAATAACTGTGGATTTCTTAGCAGAAATCATGGAGCCAGAAGAGAGATGAACATTTTTACAAGTGCTTAAAGAAAATAGCTATCAACCTAGGATACTATATCCAGGGAAAATAGCCCTAAGGAATGCAGATGAAATAAAGTTACTCATAGGAAGGAAAACTAAGAACATTCATTGCCAGAATTCTATAAGAATCACTAAAGGGAGTTCTTCAGATAGATATTATACCAGAAGGGGACTTGGAGCATTCGGGTGAAGGAAGTGCAATAGAAATGGAAAATATTGTATGTAAATCCAATAGACTGTTCTCTTTTATAAAAATATCTGCAGTGGTTAAAAACAAAGCTAATAGCTTAAACAGAATGGCATTTTAATGTAGGTAATCTAGATTCAGAGACCATGTCTTAACTATTTAGTGTACTACAGTTAGATAAAATAAGATGTAAGAACTATTATTGAAGTATTAAATGTTTCACCTATTCTTCTTGGCCTCTTCTTCCTTCTCTTTCTTTTCCCCCTTCTGTCCATCCTTATCACAGGCAACAATTCATTAGCAGTTACATTGTGCCAGGCACTTTATACCTGTTTCTTTAATTTTCACAGTGCTGTTATGAAGCAAGTACTATATTTCCATTTTTCACGTGGGAAAACTGAGGCACAGGGAAGTTAAACTTGGCCAACCTCACCCAGCTAGTTAGTACTAGAGATCGAATTCATTGGAGTAATCTGACCTTTTTTCTGATTTATTCATGACTTGTATTTATTTAAAACTCTGATGTTGATATAAGTGAAGTCATGAAATAAATTGAAAATCTGCCAGTAACAGTCCAGTGGATCACCTTGTGGGTTGGTTGGGAAATGGAGCATATATAACAACATACAGGTTGCTTGATATGTGCTCACATCCCATGATTTCTCCTGATAACTTCTCATTAGACTATCAAAAACCAACTTTTGGCCTTGGTGGCTCAGGCCTTTAATCCCAACTCTTTGATAGGCTGAGGTGGGAGGATTATAAGAGGCCAGGAGTTTGAGATCAGCCTGGGCAAATAGTGAGGCCCCCATCTCTGCTAGCTAAATAGATAAGTAAACAAACAAACAACTTTTCAAATGTGTTCTTCCCTCCTAATACAAATATATTTTTGTATCAGAAGGAAAGACTATAGCTAAGTGTTTTTTTTCTTTCATTTTTGAGGCATCCCTCTTACATCTCAAGAACACTAAGATTTCTTAGCAAATATTATGGAGATTGAAATTATGTTCATCAGGTCAGTATTCTTCCTTGAAAGTTTTTTTCACAGTTCCAGAGCTCTTTAGTTTTTCCATATAGAGTAGTGATTTAGCTCCCAACATAAATAGCATTGCATTAGCACTTGATTATATCCTGTTTTGAATGTAGTCAGCATTTTCTCATTGGTAATGTATTCTTACCACCATAGAATTGCAAATGTTTGAAGAGCAAGGAATATCTCATTTTTTTCTTTTTCCTAATCTGTACAGTATAACTAGGCAGAAAAGTTGTCCACTAACTTACCTGACCTGGATCATTTAGACCCTTAGTGCAGTTTCTTATTCACAATGTTTTTAATCCCAAAGTGAGGACAGCTTAACCTTTTACCCTAGAGCCACATTGGAATGTGAACACTGAGTGAGCAAGATTATATTTGTGTCATTTTAGGGTTCAGTGACTTTCACAGATGTGGCCATAGACTTTTCCCAAGATGAATGGGAGTGGCTGAATCTTGCTCAGAGAAGTTTGTACAAAAAAGTGATGTTAGAAAACTACAGGAACCTAGTTTCAGTGGGTAAGAGTATCTTCCTCCTTCTACCTCTCCATTACTCAGTAGTCTTGTATGCTGTTATCAGAATTTCCCACAGTCTTCCACAGCATAGGCAATTTTTATATCTTTTTTTACATGCAGGTCTTTGCATTTCTAAACCAGATGTGATCTTCTTACTGGAGCAAGAGAAAGACCCTTGGGTGATCAAAGGAGAGACGACCAGAGGCCTGTGCTCAGGTAAGTGCAGGATACCCAGAGATAAACTGTTCTCGACATGTTCTTCTCTCTGAAAAATGTTGGAAAACACCTCTCAAACTCCCTTCGAAATTGAAACTTATTCTTCTAACACCAGTTTTTGAATAGTCATTCTCTTCCCTACTGGTGTAACATACCTGCTTTACCTTTACTGATTTCTTATGCATACCAGGGTCTAAGCTCTTGTTTTACTGATGTTTACCTAATTCTGCTCAAGCACCATAGTGTTGTCATCATCCCTGATTTCAAACATTTCTGAATGCTTTAGAAAAATGGATGTTTAGTTTTTTTGAACTGGTTTTAAATATTTCCCTTTCTTTAAAAGGTGAGTAGATTGAGTTAACATGTATTACACCTATGCTCTTCTCTCTGCCTTTTTCTCTTTTGTATTTCTTTTGTTATGTATTCTTGTTTTGTTGTTTATTAGGTCTGTTTTTCTCACTCTCTTCTTTATACCACCCCACGCTTTGAATTAGAAAAGTTTTTAGTTCTACAAGTTGTTACTTTTATGTATTTATATATTTTTAAATCTTTTAGAATATTTCTGCTTGAAATTCCAAATGTTATCTTCTGATACCCTTATGAAAGATGAAGAAATTAGCTTATGAATATTACTTCTTTTCCCTATGTTCATCATTTCCCCTCTTACATTGTACTCACTGGGATTTTTGGCCCAGGGCATATTATTCAGTTTTAAAAAAAAAATTTCTGGCCTTGCTTTGTAGCTGTTTCACTGATTTAGAAAACTGGATAAGAGACAACAAATATATTGCAAGAAAAAGAACCTCAAATGAGATGGTCCTGGTTTAGTCTGTGGCCTGAAGCATAGACTTTTCCTACTTTTGGTTCTTCTTCATTTTATTTTATTTAATTTTTGAAATTAGAGACACGATCTTGCTATGTTACCCAGGCTGGAGTTAAACTTTTGGGCTCAAGCAATACTCCCACCTCAGCTTCTTGAGTAGCTAGGACTACAGGATTGCACATCACACCTGGCCCTACTTTCAGTTCTTATAATTCCAAGAAGAGGATTAAGGGTCACTTGTGGTCCTAACTATGTACATTAATAAATAAGAAATAATTAAAATCAGTAAGCATCCAATTCACAATATTAGAAAAAGAACAAAATGAATTTAAGGAAAACCTGGATAAGTTATATGTTGCGATTTATACTTCTAGAAATAAAAGTAGGAATAAATGAATTAGAAACAGTAGCTCTAGTGAAAATAAATCAAGTATTGTACATACTTCATTAGAAAACCAATGCAATATATAAACTGTAAGAACAAATGAGAGAAAACACAAAGACAAAATAATTATAAATAACCACATGTATAAGAATTTAAAAGAATCATATGAATCTCTTTTCCTCAACTCTCTGTAAATAATTTGAAAAAATAGATGATATTCTAGGAGAGTATAAAAATGTAGGTTACTGTAATTAATACCAAGAGGAACTGTAAAATTTAAACAAGTAGGTTACCATCAAAGAAATGTAGAATGTTGTATAGAAACTGCCTCCCCACAAAAGAAGCTACATTCCCAAATAGTTGTTTAAGGAAAAATTTCACCAATGTTGTTTAAATTGTTCTGGGATAGAGAATAGAAGGAGAGCTTAAAATATATTTATCAATACAGCATATCTTATGATACCAATATCTACCATAATAGCACCAAAAAGGGAAATTAGACGCAAACCTCAAATACCAATATTGGTTCAAAATCGTAAAATAGTATACCACAACCAGTGAGGATTTATTATAGCAGTACAAGGATGGTTGTATCACTAAATCTTATATAAGAACTATAAAACATGTACCTCTGCTTGTGGGTTTCAATAACTATGTGACCCACATTCTCATTTTTGAAGTTTCCATTTTAGCATTTAATAAAGGAGACATTTGCTTTCTAAATATCTTTCAGACTTGGAGTATGTGTGGGTGACCAAGTCATTATCTCCAAATCAGGATATTTATGAAGAAAAATTACCCCCCACAATAATAATGGAAGGATTTACAAGTTATAACCTTGAATGTTCAACATTAGGGAAAAACTGGAAATGTGAAGACCTGTTTGAGAGGGAGCTTATAAATCAGAAGACACATTTTAGACAAGAGACCATTACTCATACAGATACTCTTATTGAAAAAAGAGACCACTTCAACAAATCTGGGACAGATTTTCATCTGAATACTTTATCTTATATAAAACAGGTGTTTCCCATAGAAAAGAAAACATTTCATTTTCAAACAGATAAGAAAAGCTTAAAAACACATTCAGTTGTGAAAAAACACAAGCAAGACTGTGGAGAAAAGAAACTTTTAAAATGTAATGATTGTGAGAAAATGTTCAGCAAAATCTCAACCCTTACTCTTCACCAAAGAATTCATACTGGAGAGAAACCCTATGGATGTATTGAATGTGGAAAGGCCTTTAGCCAGAGTGCCCACCTTGCTCAACATCAGAGAATACACACAGGAGAAAAACCCTTTGAATGTACTGAATGTGGGAAAGCCTTCAGCCAGAATGCTCATCTTGTTCAACACCGGAGAGTTCATACTGGAGAGAAACCTTATAAGTGTAAGCAGTGTAATAAAGCATTCAGCCAGCTTGCACACCTTGCTCAACATCAGAGGGTTCACACTGGAGAAAAACCCTATGAATGTATTGAATGTGGGAAGGCTTTTAGTGATTGTTCATCCTTAGCTCATCATCGAAGGATTCACACTGGGAAAAGACCCTATGAATGTATTGACTGTGGGAAAGCTTTCAGGCAAAATGCTTCTCTTATACGTCATCGGCGATATTATCATACTGGAGAGAAACCCTTTGACTGCATTGATTGTGGAAAGGCTTTCACTGATCACATAGGGCTTATTCAGCATAAGAGAATTCATACTGGAGAGAGACCTTATAAATGTAATGTGTGTGGGAAGGCTTTTAGCCATGGCTCATCTCTGACAGTACATCAGAGAATTCATACAGGAGAGAAACCTTATGAATGCAATATCTGTGAGAAAGCCTTCAGCCATCGTGGGTCTCTTACTCTTCATCAAAGAGTTCATACTGGAGAGAAACCCTATGAATGTAAAGAATGTGGGAAAGCTTTCCGGCAGAGCACGCATCTTGCTCATCATCAGAGAATTCATACTGGAGAGAAACCTTATGAATGTAAGGAATGCAGCAAAACCTTCAGCCAGAATGCACACCTTGTACAACATCAGAAAATACACACTGGGGAGAAACCTTATGAATGTAAGGAATGTGGTAAGGCCTTCAGTCAGATTGCACACCTTGTTCAGCACCAGAGAGTTCATACTGGTGAGAAGCCTTATGAATGTATCGAATGTGGGAAGGCCTTTAGTGATGGCTCATATCTTGTTCAGCATCAGAGACTCCACACTGGCAAAAGACCATATGAATGTCTTGAATGTGGGAAGGCATTCAGACAGAGGGCATCCCTGATTTGTCATCAGAGATGTCATACTGGTGAGAAACCTTATGAATGTAATGTTTGTGGGAAAGCCTTTAGCCATCGTAAATCCCTTACTCTACATCAGAGAATTCATACAGGAGAGAAACCTTATGAGTGTAAAGAATGTAGCAAAGCCTTCAGCCAGGTTGCCCATCTTACACTACATAAGAGAATTCATACTGGAGAAAGGCCCTATGAGTGTAAAGAATGTGGAAAAGCCTTCAGGCAGAGTGTACACCTTGCACATCATCAGCGAATTCATACTGGAGAGTTATCAGTTATTCTCTCCTCTGCCCTCCCATACCACCAAGTCCTATAGATTCAATCTTGTAAATGCCTCTAGAATCCATCTGCTTTTTTTTCCAGCACATGTCACATCATCATAGTCCAAGGTGCAACCATCTCATCTGGATTTCTGCAATACTGTAACTCTTGCCCTTTTTGCTCCTATCAAGTACACGTTTAACATTGTAGGCAGCCTACTCTTTGAAAAATAAAAATACATATTTATGTTACCTTCTCATTTAAAACACTTGATTTGAAAAATATATTAACTAATCCATTTCAAGGGTTTAGTACACACTATTTGGCATATAGTTAGTGTCAAATAATTGCTAGCCATAAGGTAAAGTTTCCTTACAAACTATCATATTAAGCCACAAGTAAACCAAACCAGTAAGTCAAGACTAAGATTTTAGAGCAGACAGAAGACTGTACTTTCCTGGTAGAGAGAAGGAGATGAACAAACTCAGAATTTAAAGATGTATGGTACACAAGGTAACATGGTAGCTTATCACTCCCTCTGTGACATTGTTGATGAGGAACTCTCACTTGACCTGATACTGAGAAGAGAGAATCAGCCAATTAGAACAAAAGCTTTTTGCTGGGCGTGGTGGCTCATGCCTATAACCCCAGCACTTTGGGAGGCCAAGGCAGGCAGATAGCTTGAGCTCAGGAGTTTGAGATCAGCCTGAGTGACATGGTGAAATCTTATCTCTACAAAAAAACACAAAAATTAGCCTGGCATAATGGTACACACCTGTAGTCCTAGCTACTCGGGAGGCTGAGACAGGAGGATCACTGGAGCCAGGAGGCAGAGGCTGCAGTGAGTCATGATCACACAACTGCAATTCAAGCCTGGGCAGCAGAGCCAGGCTGGAAGAAAAATTTAAAAAGAACAAAAGCATTTGGTAGAATGCAGAAATGTAGAACTAACCACTAACCTGGGGAGTAGTATTAAAAGTAACAAGCCAAAAAACTTGAATAGATTAATAGCCATGAAACAAACTAAAAGGGTAAATACTTTCACTTTTGTAAAAGTACCACAGGCAATTTCTGTGGTGTTTAAATAGTCCTAGCATAAAATAAAATGCAAACTTTCCATCTTCATCCTTGAGATTGACAGGACATGCCAAAACATAAAAATATGTACACTGCAATTAGCTTCTGAATGTAGATGTTACAATTTAAACTTATTTTCAAAATATTAAAAAATAGGAAGGCTAGACATGTCTCTGTATAGAAAATCTGATAAAGATATTTCTAAGTTAAATTTGTAAATTCATGGATATTCAAATAAAAATAACAGATTCCAATAAAAATCTCCAATATATTTTTTAGTTGAGAAGCTAATTTGGATCATCTGTAGAATTTTGATTTTAGCAAGGAATGTAGTTTACACTGGGAATGTAGTACTAATACTAATTGAACATTTGCTAATGTGTCACACACTGTTTTAGGTGCTGGGGGATACAACAAGGTACAAAATGGACAAAAATATTTGCTCTTACAGATCTAGTAGAAAAGAATAAATACATGCCTTGTGATAAATACATAGTATGTCCCATAAAGAGAAATGGTCTAAAAAAGAAGCTAGGAAGTGCTGGATCAGGCACCTTACTATCCACAGAGGATGAGGGAAGAACTAAAGGTAACTGTGAGACACAAAAGGCATAATGAAAACAGTCATCATAATCTCAAGGCAGATATTATGATGCTTTGAGTGTTGGAGGAAAGGAGGATTGATGGTTTAGCAGAGATTGTGGCAGTTATGTTCACTCATATAAATGTTGATTTAGAGGCTGTTGGAAGGATATTTTTTGAGTGATAGCTTTATTGAGAAATAATTCACATACTAAGCAATTCTGCAGAAGAACACCCATGTCATATCCTCTCTGTATCCATCAGCAGAAGTGAAGAGGGAGCCCCAAAGCTCCACTTAAAGTGTACAACTTACAGCTTTTAGTTCATTCACAGAGTTGTGCAACCATCACCATGGTCAATTTTAGAACATTTTCATCACCTCAAAGAGGAATTCCATGTCCTTTTGTGTAATGTTTATCCCTGGAAGAGTACTTTTTTTTTCAAACTGAAGCACCCAGAGCTCTTGGGTTCCCTCTTAACTGCTTCCCGTGGCAGTATACAATGCCATGTGAGGAAAGCTCTCATCCAGAGTACATGATTGCTAGAAAATGGAACTTGGGGCTTCCTCTTTACTTCTGCTGATAGAAGCATAGTGGCTAGGGGATGGGTAGTCTCATGAGAGAATGTGGAGCTTTCAGACTCCCCTCATATAAAATGAAAAGTATTTTTCATTGTAGTGGGGAAAAGGTGGTTTGATCAGATGTCATTGGGAAACTTAGCTCACTACAAAAACAGATCTGTACAGATCTGTACCTTTCACACTAACAAAGGCCTAAGAGATTAAAGGTCTAAATGTAAAATTAATGTACATGAAAAACAGAATAATATTTCTGTACCCTTGGTTTCAAATAGACTTTAGGCATTAATGCATAACCCCAAAGCTGACATTCGATTTTTATATGGTAGAAAACATCACAGTCAGATGAATGAGAGACTGACACAAAATGTTTGCAACAAATATAACAAAGAACCCTAATTCATGATATTCAAAGTACTATTACAAACCAATAACACTGTGCAACTTAGAAAAATGGACAAAACTAATGGTCCATTCACAAAAGATGAAATAAAAGCAGTTAATGAAAATTATCCAATATCACTAGAAACCAAGGAAATGCAAATTAAAGTGATTATATACTTTTTCCCCAAAAGACTAATCAATTGATAACATCCAGTATTGGTGAATATGTGTAAACAAGGCAATTCCATTGTTGATTCTATATCTATTGCTTTTTGTATATACCCTTTGAATTAATATTCCTTGGAAACCAACATATACAAAGATAGATAAATGTATTAGTGGCAAAAAAAATTAATGGTAAACTATTAACCTAAGTTCCCATCAGGGTAATGAATAAATTAATTATGGTATATATCCATTCAATCGGAATTATGCAGCTGTTGAAAAAATATAAATGTGTATAGTCATAGAAAGATAGCTGTGCTATACTAAATGAAAAATTATAGACCTGTATTGTAGTATAGACTCGTAATATCAAAAATAAAAATATATATTAGAGTAGGCATCTGTTTTTGTCTGCCCAGCTTCACTTGCCTCTTCCTTTTGGCTGCACCATCTCATCCTTTCCTTTGAGTAACTGGCCATACCCTATCATATGGTTCTGATGGATGTGGCCAATATAATCGTCTCTGAATTTCAAAAGGCATTTGGGTCTGTGTCATCCAATGACAACTCTCTAAAAATGGATACAGTTATTCTTTTGGAATCACTCAGTTTTTGTACTTTCTAAGACTGTAATACCTCAGACTACCCATTATCTTTCCAGCACTTGATTTTTGCCTCCGGTTGGTCCGTTGCTTGCAATTAAAGAAATAATCATACAGAATTTGGTATGAAGAGTGGGTAATAGGCATTAGAATCTTTGGAAAATTATGTATTGGGAGTTGCTTTTTGGATGAGATGGGGCAAATAAGACTTATTTTCTAGCCTGTAAAGCAACTCATGGTGTACAATGAGCAAACACCTGATTATTATTAATTGTAGTCACCTGGGATGAATAGAGGTCCAGGGTTCTGGATAATGACAATTTAAAGAGGATGGAGAATGCTGACTCCAAAAGGTATATCTAATACTGGTATCTAACTGCTTTTAATAATTTAAAGTTTAGCCGTTGAACTTCTAGCATTAAGGCAAAAAATTCAACTAAGGGATTTCATGTGTTATTGTTGAAAGATGCCTTACACTGTTTGAAGTAATAGGGATTAAGATGGCTCAAAATTCAGAGACTATTTAGAGACATTTTTATGCACTGCTAAAGTGGAATGCTGGTTAAATTTCATACTTTATTCACAATAGTCACTGTGAATTGAACTGTGAATTCAGTTCTGAATTGTGTTCCCACCACCACCATCACCAAATTTACTTGTTGAAGTCCTAAACCTCAAAGTGACTGTATTTGGACATAAGGCCTTTAAGAAACTAAGGTTAAGCTAGGCCTAATCCTATAGGACTAGTGTCCTTGTAAGAGGAAGAGACACCAGAGCTCTGTCTCTCTCCACATGTGCACAGAGGAAATGCCATGTAAGGACACAATAAGAATGCTGCCATCTGCAAGCCAGGAGGAGAGATCTCACCAGGAACCAGCCCTGCCAGCACCTTGATCTTGGACTTTTAGTCTCCAGAACTGTGAGAAAATAAATGTTGGTTGTTTAAGCCACCCAGTCTATGAAAAGATGCTCAACATCATTAGTCATTAGGGAAATGAATATCAAAACCACAATGAATTGACCCCTGGAAGGGCCAGAGGGCAAGGAATGCTGGGTGACAGAGCAAGACATTGCCTCAAAAACAAACAATCTATGCTTCATAAAACACCATTAAGAAAGTGAAACAATAAATTCACAAAATGATAGAAGATATTTGCAAATCATTTATCTGTAAAGGACAGGAATCCAGAATTGCAGCTTAACAATAACAAGACAAATAGCCCAATTTAAAATAGGCAAAAGGCTTGAATAGACATTTCTCCAAAGAAAATATATGAATGAACAACAAGCACATGAAAAAATGCTCAACATCATTAGTCATTAGGGTAATGCATATCAAAACCACAATCAGTTGCCCCCTGGAAGGGCCAGACAGAGGGCAAGGAATGCTGGGGTGGATAACCGCATCCCTGTAGGTGAAAGAGCCCTCCCAGTGTTCTCGCTCTCCAATGACAGCTGGAAATGTGGTGTCTTGTTTTGTGGAAACGAAGGCAGATGAATCATGAGAATAATGGGGTAAAAATCCTGCAACGTGTGCACACATATTTATTCCATCTTAATTTTGTTCTAATAAAAGACCTTGCATATAGGAACTAGCCATGTATTCCTTTGTTCCCACTGAAAGATTTGTTTTCCTTATTAAAAAGAAGCACACACACATTGATCTATACATTCGATGTAATTCCAAAAAAATCATAGTAAGATTTTAATTAACCATCGTAGACTGATTCTGTTACCACAAATGGACTCTGAGTTCTTTGGCTCTCACATAAGTAGAAATTAACATCAAGCCAAACAGAAACTTTCTCAGGGAAGGTTTAAGAGGCTTGAGGCTCAAGATATGCAAAGTCTCTTCCACATTTTTGGGTATCTTATCAGCAACACTCCACTCTACTGGTACCAATTTACCGTATTAGTCTGTTTTCATGCTGCTGATAAAGACATCCAGGACTTGCAAGAAAAAGAGGTTTAATTGGACTTACAGTTTCACATGGCTGGGGAGATCTCAGAATTGTGGGAGGCAAAAAGCACTTTTTACATGGTAGGGGCAAGAGAAAATGTGAAAGAAGCAAAAGTGGAAACCCTTGATAGCCCCATCAGATCTCATGACACTTATTCACTATCACAAAAATAGCATGGGAAAGACCAGCCCTCATGATTCAGGTACCTCCCCCTGGGTCCCTCCCACAACACTTGGGAATTCTGGGAGATACAATTCAAGTTGAGGTTTGGGTAGGCACACAGCCAAACCATATCACTGTCCTTTGGGAAACATAAAGTTAGGTTGCCAACTTTATCACACTTCTCAGTTTAAATTGTAGGCAGACAAGTTTCCATTTCTTACTAGAGAAGTCTTGGCAATAACTGAACAATGTCTCTACCTGTTTACCCCAGAAGGACAAGCCTTGACTTTTACAGGAAGCTGGCCAGGAGGTGACACAGGAGCCATCTGGTAAGTTGAAGGAATTGACATTTCTAGATCACAGTAGGAAAAATTTCCACCACTCACCCAATGTGGCCTTCACACTGACGTGTTTATTGTGCTCCTTGGATCCAACGAGGCTGGAACTCAGAATGCATGTACCTCATGGAACATTAAGGAACAGTCTTCATAAGGGCAGTAAGGGCTGCTGTTCTTGTGATTAAACACTATTAATATAGTTCCTACACAGGATAGTCTGAGTTACACATGATTTAGAGTAACTCAAATGAATTCCTCAGTTTTTAATTAATAGCATATTGTGGTTTTAAATAAAATGTTTTCAGAAGAGGAAAAAGGCTTTAATTAAATCTGAATAATTTTAGAGGAAATATAAGATCATAAGAGTCAAAATGTGCCTCAAAATAGACATAAATGGACTAAATGAATGTTAAAATTTTTTAAATCAAAATAATTTAGAATGCACATACTAACTTGAAAACAGGCAAAACAGACAGATATAAGGGTTTTATTTGCCAGGGGAGAGTCTGTAAAATTAATTATGTGAACTTCTCACTTGTAACTATGTATTTTTACAATCTACTCTCTGACTACTTCCTTCTTTGGGGAACAGTGATTTAGATATCCTGAAAATGTCACATCAGTAAGTTGAACAAGAAGAACAGGAGTGTTAAGAACAAGACTCAAGATGAAGCAACACAAGTTTTGAATATTTTATAATAGCTAAAGGCACAAAAAGTTGCCAATTGTCTCAGACTTCCACAAAGTGAAAAAAAAAAAATAGAATCTTAATTGAAAAGAAGAAAAAGCATGAAAACGAGAGAATGCATGCTGAGAGTGGGGAAAGGTAAGTACCAGCTGGACTCTTGCCCTGGGCTCATGGTCTCCACCTCTTGAAATAGTCTGGATATTTGTCCCTGCCCAAAATCTCATGTTGGATTGTCATCTCCGGTGCTGGAGATGGAGCCTGGTTGGAGGTGTTTGGATCATGGGACAGTTCCCTCATGGCATGGTGTGTCTTCTCGATAATGAGAGAGTTCTTGTGAGATTAGGTCATTTAAAAATGTGTAGCACGTTCCCCCCCTTCTCTCTTGCTCGTGTGTTTTTGCCATGTGATGTGTGGCTCCCCTTTCAGCTTTTGCCATGATTGTAAGCTTCCTGAGGCCTCCCCAGAAGTCAAATGCCAATGCCATGTTTCCTGTACAGCCTGCAGAACTGTAAGCCAATTAAACCCCTTTTCCTTACAAATTACCCAGTCCCAGGTATTTCTTTATAGCAATGCAAGAATGGCCTAATGTGCTCCTCAAGGACCTCATCTCTGAGAGGTCATACAACTCTTAGATTAGAGGGGCACTTCATTGCTGGATCCAGGAAGACAGGCCCCAGTTCCAGGTTCTGGAAAGAGAGTCCTGGGGCAGTAAAGGGTCTGCTTCCCTGGTAGGGAATATCCAGAGGCATTGCTGAGGAGGAGTCCTGCCCTCTGAGCAGGTGATGACCAGCAGCTGGACCTCCTACCAGCCCACAGGGTCAAGGAGAGAGACCACCTTGGGCAAAGGAGGTGAGGGAAAAGGAGGTGAGGCTGCTGAGTGAAGGTTGCAGTCCTGTCCTCTGCCTAATCCACAAAACCCAGAGGTCAGCCTCCAGCCCCTCATACTCCACAGAGAGGCCTTGGGAGGCCTAATGGGAACCCACTGAGTGCTGAGCTCCAGGGCCCAGGAGAGTTGACAGCCACCTTCAAGTCACCACCACCTGCTGTCCTGCTAGGGACCCTGGCCTCTGTCTCCAGGAATCCCCAACAAGTCTCCCCAAGGTCCCCAACAGCGTGCTCAAGGACTCTTAGGAAATGCTGAGTTAAAGGCTCTCTGAGGTCACACTAGTCCCAGAGGAGGCTCACCTGGCATGGGAGGTTGGTGCCATGGTCTGGAGGCTCTGGGTTGAGGATAAACATTGATCTCTAGGGAGTTGTGGGGCCCAGGGAGGCCAGGCCAGCCCCCATCCAGGAGGAGGTAGAGACTGAACCCCCCTCACAGACCTGGGAAAAAGGACGACCATCCTTGGATGTCCAAGTTCCGGGATTTCTGGAGCGTGGACATTCAGCTACTGGCTCAGAGGCAGGAAGAGAGAGGGGCAGAGACGAGGACTCAGAGATCCAGGGGATCCCCTGAGACTGCCACCTTTTCAAATCTGAGCCTGCTTCTGCCCACTCACTGGGAGAGGTGAGAGGGTCCCATTCCAGCTCAGCTTATGGAGTAGGGGACCCGCACTCCATCCCTCATGCCCTCCCTAGAACCAATTCTGTATCTGGCACATGCACTGAGAGCCTGTTAATTCAGTGACAATATCTGACAG